GAAAACAAAGTTAACGTTTCGGGTCCGGTGACCCGAGGAAGGGTCAACGGACCCGAAACGTTAACTCTGTTTTCTCCTCCGCAGATGCTGCCAGACCTGCTGAGCTTTTCCAGCAATTTTGTTTTTGTCACTATCAGAAGGACATGATTGCACTGGAGAGGACGCAGAGGAGATTCACCAGGATGTTGCCTGGGATGAAAAGGCTGATTTGTAAGGAGAGTCTGGATAGGCTCGATTTGTTTCCCCTGGAGCAGATGAGGCTGAAGTGCGATTTGTTTATACACAATTATGAGAGACATGGACAGAGTAGATCGTGTCATAGACCAGAAGGTGTAAGTTTAAGGTGAGGAGTAGATGTTTTAGAGATCTAAGGAAAAGGCTTTTCATCCAAAGGGTAGTAGAAATATGGAATGTTCTGCCTGAGAGGGGATGGAAGCAAGTACTCTCACAACATTTAAGAAACATCTGAAGGAGCATTTAAAATGCTAGGGCAAAGCAGGCTAGGGACCAAGTGCAGATAAATGGTTTGGTGTTTGTTGGTCAGTATAGACAAGGTGGGTTGAAGGGCCTATTTTTATGCTGTATGACTCTATGACCACACATACTGCTACAAATCCATAATTAGATGTTCATATGTATTTCTGTTTAAAAGTTCCTTCTTCCTATGGACTTGTGAATCAGATCAATCATATATTTTAAAACACTGAAATGAGGGAGGAAAAATTATCAATCATTCTATGTTCATTCTCAACATCCTTACAACTGGCCTGATAAGATTGTGCTCTAGCATACTCTGGGCCAGACTTTCATTGACGAGGCAGGAAGCTCAAATTAGGAAATGCGCCAACCTGGTGGACCTGCCTGCATGGAGCATTCGCTCTAGAGGAAGGGAAATGGCATCGCGTTAGCCTTGCTGACCCCAGTAGGATGCAGCCACAGAGGGGGTAAGTGCCAAGCCAGACTGGTTAGAAGGACTGCTTCAGTTCCCTGGGACTTCAGTCCAGTTGTGCTGAAGGCTGTTGGGTCATCCTGACTTCACCTTTCCCACTAGTCTACTTCAGCCCATGTAAAGAGGCCATCTGACAACCAGGAACAGAAACAGACATCTGTTTCTGTAGGTGGCCTCAGTATTCATGCCTTACTGGGCTCCTAGACTCAGTAATGGAATCAGGTCACCTGGGGGTTCAGTTTACAGGGCTGAAGTGGAATGTTGGCTTTGATTGATTGACATCATTGTGAGGTTATGTTGAATTATTCTTTCTTTGATCTGTTGTTTCAAAGTTGCAATGTTTATTTGGACAAGGTTTATGGCACTGAGTGACTGACATTTTAATTAGATTCTAAGAGAAATTCTTTTTTCAAAGCAGATCGCTGAATGGGTGTTCCTTTTCATGAACATTTCAAGACATGCCATTGTTGTATTTTGGCTCACTGGTTCTTAACTATGTTTGCTGACGGAGTGGGCACAGATATATAGGGCACGCAAGGAGATCATAGAATCCCTACATTGTGGAAGCAGGCCATTTGGCCCATCGAGTCCACGCCAGCCTTCCAAACAGCATCCCACCCAGACCTGCCCCCTACCCTATCCCTGTAAACCTGCATTTCCCATGGCTAACCCACCCAGCCTGCACACCTTTGGACTGTGGGAGAAAACTGGAGCACCCAGAGGAAACCTCACGCAGACACGGGGAGAATGTGCAAACTCCACACAGACAGTTGCCGAGACTGGATTCAAACCTGGGTGCTAACTGCTGAGCTGCAATGGAAGATGTGATGACAAATGAGAGATATGAGTAGTATCAGAGGACATTGAGGGCCATAGGAGGAGCATGAGGGAAATAGGAATCTGAGAGGCCGGGGTGACAACTGTTACATTTGCTTACCAAATGGTAGTGAATCCAAACTGTGCTTAATGCTCCCCTAAGTCTCCGTTGGGGAAGCAAGATTTGATTCCAGCTTCAGCAACTGTGTATGTGGAGTTTTGCACATTCTCCCTGTATCTGCGTGGGTTTCCTCCTGGTGCTCCGGTTTCCTCCCACAGTCAAAAGATGTGCAGGTTAGTTGGATTGGCCGTGCTAAAGTGCCCATAGTGTCCAGGGACGTGCAGACTTGGTGGATTGCCATGCTAAATTACCACATAGTGTCAAGGATTAGCCATGGGAAATGCAAGGTTACAGGGATAGAGTAGGGGGTTGGGTCTGGATGGGATGCTCTTCGGAGGGTCGTTGTGGACTCAATGGGCTGAATGGACTGCTTCAGCACTGTAGGCATTCTAAGATTGTGTAATTCTTTGAGTCATGAGTGAACTGTGAGTCCTTGAGAAGCTGGTCAAACCCTATGAAACTGAAGTGGGGTTTGAGATGCCTAATCACAAAATAGAACCAGCCCTGTCTGATGTGTGTGATGTGGACCTGCTACCTATATCCTTATAAAATGTTGGCAAAAATTACAGGCACAGGCATAAAGCTAAGTATCTTGGAGTTGTGTTTTGCCCACCGTTTATAAAGGTCCCCATGTCTTTGTAAAACACACAAGGCAAGGTGCCCCTAGAGCCAAAGCACCACTGAGCTGCTCTCTCATTTCAGAGAGATGGAGAGAATGGGACCTTCATCATCCTCGGAGCATGGTATGATTTGATGCTGAACTGAGACCAACAAGGTTCAATCTTTAGTCTGTGCCGTGAACTGGTCTCAGCTATGGTAGCCAGTTGATTTCAGCATTACTGGGCTAAGAAACTGAAACTTTAGCCAAAGATTCCCCCACAGTTGCCAACTGCTGAACCCTGGTGAAAGGTGCCTGGTTGTGAATATCATCAGAGGCTTAAGATTGAGCTTCCTTTAATGCCCTCAAAGACAATCAAATATCCCAGTGCCACCCATTATGCAGGCCCACACATACACAACAGACACTTGGCTGTCATAGCTGGTAACCCTAAACCTTAATCCAAGCATAAGTCAGGAGAGAAGGGGAAACAAATTTGAACAAAAATTTATTTTGCCACAAGGAGCAAAAATGTTGCTGGATATGGTTAACTGATTTGTTCCCTCATCAAGGACTTGCAATGGATGCAACCACAAAAAGAGCATGGGCACTTTGTTCTGATTCATTTACGGAGTGTGTAGACTGAACTCTTTTTTCTCTTATTTTGTTATCCCAGGCTTTTCAAATGGAGTGAAACACACTGTCTGCCTGAATAACTGGCCAAACGGCAAAACCCAGAGAAGGAAAGCTGGCACGGTTTAGAAAGCAGATCACACTCATCTAATTAGCTCTGCTGCACGTGGACGGGAGAAATGTTTTTCAATCTTGATGTAATCTTTTGTCCAACGCTGGATTAAGTGAGCTGAATGGCAGCAAAGTATATACAGAGGACTCATGAGCAGACTGTGGTCTCATCTGCTCATCTTGATTTACCTCTTTCTTTTTGAGCACAGTATCAATAGTCACCTTGGCAACAGCTCTCTTGCCAACATACCTCTTCAGGAAAATTAGAGACATGGAAGAGATGCGATAAGTTTCTGAAGCAGTGTTCTGGGCTCCAATTAATACGAGGCAAGAGTTTTCAAGAGATTTGGTTCACAGCGTGAGAGCAAATCAAACAGCAGTTTAAATGAATTAATTGAACATTGTTATCACGGAGACATCAAAGTGCTTGCTTAATCTCGGAGGACTGAGGAACTTAGTGAGTGAGCTGGCATCTGGTTTGAGGAGTCTGATTCTGTCGAGCTCGTTCCAAAGGAAGGTGGAATTTTTTAATAGTCACTATCTTCAACGAACGGAGACACAGCGGAATCTTCAGGCGTGTTTGCAAAGAAGAGGAGAGAAGCCAGGAAAAGCAGAGCAAGAGCTGAATGTCTTGACTGAAAGAGAAATTACCAGCAAGCAGTTTCAGTTGAGAATGTTTAACTGCTGCATGCCAGGGTTTAATGAAACAGCTGAGGCTTTCTCCGAAGATCTCCAATTAAAGCAAAAAGCAAGCTTCCGTTAAATGAGACAGAGCAGTACATTTTTTATTTGGCATTCTTCCACTTTTGACCTCTGCCCTTGCTGTTGAAGCCACTCAACGACACATGAGAATCAGCAACAAAAACTTCTTGCCACAACAAGAAACCCAAGCCCAAAGTGCTTCGTATTGACAATGAAGTGCTCGCTGCGGGTATTTCTCCTCTCCCTTGTGCTACTCGTTGTATTTCTGACTTCGCTGTTTTTCACCGATACGCTGACAGGCATGACCAACATGGCCTACCTGGAGACTCAAGGTGGAGAGAAATCCCATCGGGTCAAGTTGGTGCCCAGTTACTTGGGTGTGCAAAAGTTGAACAAGGATCTTGTGGATCAGAAGACGTGTGCTTGTGACCGTTGTGTGGGTGATCTTGGCCTGTCACAGTGGTTTGATGAGCACTTCGATCAGGACATTCTACCACTTTGGACAAAAGCGAACATGGAGTTGGACCCTGATGTGTACAACTGGTGGGTGGTGAGTATCTTTAAACTGACAGGAAGAGTGATCGAAATGTGAATTCTTTTCAAATATTCTTCCCTCATCTCCTGAAGGCGCTGATTGACTCATCCATGGTGCCAACAACACACCAATTTCTCACCAAATGTGTGTGAGCTTAGGCAGTTAGCATCAATAAAGTTATCTGAATGATGGAGGCACTTCAAACAACAGTAACCTCCTCTATGCAATGGTAGTCACTGAACCCTGGTGTCAAAATGCATAATAATCAGAAGGTGCAAATCTGGTTTATTTTACACTCCACCATCCTCACCCCTGATTTTGTGGGAATGTTGAGGCTAATTCTGTATCAGACATCTCAACATTGGCTAAGATCATAAATTGGCAATCTCATATAAAGAAAGATGGCAAGGATACCTGCTATTGGACATCATAAAGTCACATTGGCATGTTAGAAGATGCTTTCCTGAGGTTTTAGTTAAGACAATTGTGATAAAGTAGAAGGATATTATTTTCTTTCTGATCATGTATACAGAATCTTACAAAGAAGAAGTAGGCCATTCTGCCCATCATGCTACTGAGGATTTGTTCTTCAGAGCCCTGCAGATTCTTTCCTTTCATATAGGTGTCCAATTTCTTTTGGTAAAGTTACTACTGCAACTGCTTCTTTCACCTTTCAGATCACGATAACCTGCATCAAAGAGATTTTCCTCATCTCAGATCTTGGACTCTTTCCCATTATTTTCAATTTACAGCTTATCAAACACTGCTGTTTGTGGAAACAGTTTCTGCTTACTTACTTGATTTGATCCCACATAATTTTGAAGACCTTGTTATTTTATTTATCATTTCATTAAACTTAGCTTAACCTTCTCTGCTCACTGGAGAATGCGTGTCAGTTTCTGTAGTCTCTTCACATCGCTGAAGTTATTGATATCGGGTCTCATTCAAATCAGGCAATCACCTCTGCACTTGCCCCAAGGCATTGACATGCTCTCTGTAGTGATATGCTCGCTTCTGGACACTGCGTTCTCATTTGAGCTTCTGCCAGTAATTTATAACTTTCTTGATTCTGTTCTCGATACCTCTTTTTGTAAAGTCAGTCATCCTTTATTCTTTATAACAGATTTATTAACTTGGCCTATCAATTCCAATGATACATGTGCATAAATCTCTAGGCCACTAATTCCTATACATCCTTTAAACTTGTCACGATTAGACCTAGGATTGTTTGATGTCGATAACAGATACCAAAGGCCTCTCTATTCCCAGCACTGACAGCCCCCAGCTCAGTAGTTTAATGGATGACAGAACATGTAAGAAAATAATTGTCAAATGCCTAGAGTAAAGATTTATGAGGATGTTGCTGGGGTTTGAGCTACAGGGAGAGGCTGAATACGCTGGGGCTGCTTTCCCTGGAGCATCGGAGGCCGAGGGGTGACCTCATAGAGGTGTATAAAATCATGAAGGGCATGGATAGTGTGAATAGACAAGGTATTTTTCCCGGTGTAAGGGAGTCCAAAACTAGAGGGCATCGGCTTAAAGTGAGAGGGGAAAGATTTAAAAGGGACCTAAGGGGCAACGTTTTCACGCAGAGGGTATATGGCATGAGCTGCCAGAGGAAGTGATGGAGACTGGTACAATTACAACATTTAAAAGGTATCTGGATGGGTATATGAATAGGAAGGGTTTAGAGGGATATGGGCCAAATATTGGCAAATGGGACTAGATGAATTTAGGATATCTGGTTGGCATGGACAGGTTGGACTGAAGGGTCTGTTTCCATGCTGTACATCTCTGTGACTGTGACTGTGGTAGCAGTGGGTATAGAAATTTGGGTTCACACTGCCCATGTATCTCCGTGTTTGTGGCATCAGCACACAATGAGTTACAACAGCTTCTAAGCCCTATTGAGCAGATATGCTTTGGAAAGGATGAGAAGCTGAAGGACTGGGAAGGTTACTCAACCATGTCCTGAGAGTCTGGGGCACGTTTGGTCACTGTTTACAGCAACAAAGTGAATGAAAAGCTTAAGTGGACCAGATAACCAGAGTGAAAGATTCAGTGGGAGAGATTGTTACGAATAGGAGTGTATCTTTTCAGACCCATGTGATCTGAAGTCTGCATCATTTGCTTTTTATTCTATTATGGTTTTAAGTTGGTATGCATGAAACGTGGTGATCAGTGGTAGAATTAGTACAAATGCTTTGAGCAAACCACTGTTTACTGTAGTCGGGCTGAAGTTATCAAACAAGGTGTCTCAGTGCTTTCAGTAAATCATGAATTCGACACTTAAGTTATAATCTATTAATGTGGAATTGTATTGTCTGATTTAACTGAATGCTTATATTATGCAACATGAGCATGTTTAAAAACAAAAAATCATTTCTGTCATTGCTGCAACCAGTCACTGTGGTTAAAATTTAAACAAAATAGAAAGAGAAAGGAGTCTAACAGTAAGCAGTACAGACCAGGGAGATCCAAGATTTGATATCTGATTTGTGTGTGAAATCAGTATTGATTGGTCCCTATATAAAAATACGCTCAGGATATGACCCAGGATTGCCTACAATACATGAAGAATTAGGCTATTCTTCCATCCCAACTCATGGGTGGCATGGTGGTTCAGTGGTTAGTGCTGCTACCTCACAGCACCAGAGACCTGGGTTCAATCCCACCCTTGGGTGACTGTCTGCATGGAGTTTGCATGTTGTCCCTGTGTCTGTGTGGGTTTCCTCCCACAGTCCAAAGATGTGCAGGTTAAGGTGAATTGGCCATGCTAAATTGCCTGTAATGTCCAGGGATGTTAAGGTTAGTTGGATTAGCCATGGAAAATATAGGGTAGGGGGTGTGAGTCTGGGTGTGATGCTCTTCAGAGAGTCACTGTGGACTTGTTGGGCTGAAAGGCCTGTTTCTACACTGTAGGGATTCTATGATAAACACCCCCATCTTTCCTCATCAAAATTTAATGTCATAGTCCTTTATTTTCTTCTCTCTCAAGTGTTTGTCTAGTTTCCCCTTGGACATCATTCACTTCAACCATTCCCTGTGGCATGAAGTTCCACATCCTCATCAATCTTTGGGTTTCTTCTGAATTATGTATTGGATTTCCTGGTGACTATCTTGTATAGTTATGTCTTCCCTGCCAGTGGAGATGTTCTCCCTCTATCTGCTATAAGTTGGGGCTAGTACAATGGCTCAGTGGTTAGCTGCCAGGGACCCATGTCCAATTCCAGCCTCAGGCAAACGTCTGTGTGGAGTTTGCATGTTCTCTGCATGGGTTTCCTCTGGGGCCTCTGGTTTCCTCCCATAATGTAAAGATGTGCAGGTTAGGTGGATTGGCCATGGGGAATGCAGGGTTATAGGGACGTGGATCTGGGTAGGATGCTGTGCAGAGGGTCAGTGCGGACTCAATGGGCTAAGTGGCCTGCTTCCACACGGTACGGATTCTATGAACAAAACCTTTTGTAAATGTAAGTACTGCTATTAGGTCACGCCTTAGCCTTCTCTTTTCAAGAACAGAAAGAGATCCAACCAATGCATCTTTTCCTGATATAAATGACCCATGGTTTTCTGATGTCTTCTTTGTAAATCTCCTCTGAACATCTTCCAGTGTTTCTCTATCCTTTTAATAATACAGCAACCAGAACTGCACACTGTAGTCTTGTGGGGTCGCACCAAGGTTCAAAACAGATTTAATTTCCCTCCTTTTCAACACTATTTCCCCAGAACAAGTCTTGTGCTTGGTTTGCTGGGTTTTATTTTTAATGGTCTTTTGCTTTTAAACAGAATTACACCTGCTTGTAATTCCCTGTACAATCAAATAGCCATGCCGGAACTCAGTGTTGAGGCTTACGCCTGAAGTACAAGGTACTGAATGACTGTGGGCACCTATTACAAAATGCCTGGTCATTCCTATCAATTCAGATCATCCAAAGGGAAAAAATATGAGGTAGAAATAATGAATTTTCTGATGATACATCATGGTTCAAACACAGAAGAAGGTGATATAATCTTTGGAGCCACAGCAAAGAGCCTGTCTCTTCCTATTCCCACAGAGTTTTCATATTCTGTTGTTCTTGCTGTTTCCAGCTGTCTTCATGTTTCCAATTGGAATTTTGAAAAATGGGTGCACTTTTGATGCAGGATTGTACCTTGGAATGATAGGGTCTTTTTGGAGAAAGCCAGCATCTTTCAAGCAGCTTGTGTCCGGCCAGTGTATTTACGTTCTTTGGGGAATCTATAGGTTAATGGATGAATTGGCACAGTGGTAGTGTCCCTACCCCAGACCAGGAGGCTCAGGTTCGAGTCTCACCTGCTCCAGAGGTGTGCAATAACATCTCTGAGCATGTTGGTTAGAAAAAAAGAGGCAAAGTGAGGTAATGGGTACTCTGTACACGATTTCAGGAAGGTACATGTATTCCAGATAGCTCCACACAATGGACTCCATTTCTGTGGTCCATGTTCCTGAGGTAAGTGGCAAAATGTGAAGCGGAAATGATACATGAGCAAAAGTTAGACAATTAGTGCCATGTGTGATGGGGTGTGTGGAAATCATTGAATTTGATGTTGTGGTATCAGAGTGTTTAATTTTACAAGTGGTTTAGAAAACAAAATATTGTCTAAGGTGCCTCGATCACCATAGAGTCATAAAGATGTACAGCATGGAAACAGACTCTTCGGTCCAACTTGCCTGCACTGACCAGATATCCCAAATTAATCTAGTCCCATTTGTCAGTATTTGGCCCTTATCCCTCTAAATCCTTCTTGTGCATATACCCATCCAGATACCTTTTAAATGTTGTAATTGTACCAGCCTCCACTGCTTCCTCTGGCAGCTCATTCCATACATGCACCACCCTCTGTGTGAAAAATTGCCCCTTTTAAATCTTTCCCCACTCACCTTAAACCTGTGCCCTCACAAATGTGTTAGCACCATTGGCCATTATAACTAATGTGTACTAACTCAAAGGGAATTGAACACGTTACATTCAGCGACAGATCAAAATCAACACCAT